AGTTACCTGAATGAATGGGTACCATAAACAGTATTGGTAGGGATGATTGCTGAATGGCTGATACCCTGTTTTAGCAGGCAAGAAAAATACAAATTGGGGAGAGCTGGAAGTTTTATGTGTTTCTTTTCAACTGCCATGCAGGGAGTTCTGTGTTGAACCTTCTGCGTGCATTTGTCACCCTCACCCTAGGAGGCAGATACTATCACGCTTCCCAGTTTATTGAGGAAGAAATGGGTACTCACAGAAGTAGCGTAACTCATCACAGACCTAGTAAACAGCAGGGCCCAGATTCAAACTTTGTTAAGTAACCTAATCCTACACTTCTTCAGAATGCTTAGCTCAATAAGAACTTTAAAATGAATGCACTGAGTCGGAAGTCATTTCAGAGTTCATGATGTCGCTCACGGGAGTGTGTCCATCCGCTGTTCACATCCACACATGACAGGGACAGAGAGAACAGGGCCTGGATGATCTGGGTTGGACTTAACCAAGTTTTCACTGAGCAGCTCTAGGCACTGGGCTGGGTACTGGGTGTTACAATATTTATGGCTCCTGCTTTCATGGAGGTTTCAAGATAGCTAAAATAGAAAGAATAGGAAGAAAAAAAGCGAATTGTAAATAAAAACAGGGTCTCTGGAGAAATAGGAGTAGAAAAGCCAGGTAAACCAGACCCTAAAGCATTATAATGTCAAGGCAACGGAAGACTCATGTAGAATTCTGGATGCGGTAAGAGACCTCAGGATTGCCTCAGCGACTGCCCGCCCCACTCTGGGACATGCAGAGAGCAGCGCACAGAGAAATCGTCACTCCCACGAGATCAGCCGCTGGCTGTCATTCATCAAATGCTTCTACATGGCAGGCACTTTCCATGTGTACCTGCTGACTTTCATTAACAACCTCTGGGTGGTTAAGTAATAATTAAGAAATAGTAATGACGTAGTCATTATTATAATGTCAAGTCGTGCCATCTAGAAACCAGTAGTACTGTGATTTTATAGGTAGGAAGCCGAGGTGCAAGAGGGTTGAGGTCCCTTGCCCAGGGCACTGTGCTGGGTTAAGTGGAAGAACCTGGACTTAGATACAGGACTCCTGATTTTCGATCTGACTAGACACGCTGACTCCCTTTTTGGAGTCATTCGCATCAGCCCTGGGGCCCGTCCGCAGTAAAGCCTCGGGCCCACACTGAGTGAATGCGTACTATGCGTGCTCGGTAGCTGAAATGCTGCCTCTGTGCTCGTCTCCGCGCCTGCGTTTTACGAGAGCTCGCTGACAGTACTTCAGCCCGTGCCCTGGCCCCTCGACCGGCGGCCCTACCCTGCCCCTGCAGTTTTCAGACTGTTCGGTGTGTCCGTGAGCAGCAGCGTGGGGAAACTGAACACCAGGACCAGTAACTGTCTGCTTCCCACCCACCTGGCCCTTCCTCTCCGCCCCCTGCAGAATCGGCTGCCACCCGAAGGGGCCAGCACGTGGGAGGAGACCAGATCTCTTGTCTTGCCAAAATCTTGGGTTCCCTCTGCCTGGCAGGGCCTTGACGTCAGAGCTGGGGTGCCTTTCAGAGGCTAAACCCCAAGGGATGTTTCCCCCCGAAACCAAGCTTTTCTGTCTCTCAGGATTTTCTTAAGGTCACAGAGGCATTCAGGCGTGTGAGCGTTCCCTGCTTCTCCCAAGGGCCGCCCTCGTTTTGTCGGTGTGTTAACAGTTTTTCCTTCTGTGTCAGGGTGTGCTCACCTTCTACAAATGTCTGTGCTCTTCCGTGTCAGCGTTACATCATTGGTGCGTTTTTATTCCGTGCGCCCTCTAATGTCTTAGTGGGGGGGAGCTCTTGCTGCCTGCTGCAGGCATAATTATCAAGGATAAAAAATTTCGTCGTCTGTCTCAGAGAAGAGCTAGAACTAGTGAAGCCTGGAGTTACCTGCGGTTCCAGCTTCCAGAGTCTGTAAAATGACGATGCTTTGCCCCGCACTTGGAGTAGGTGGGTGTGGGGGAGTGTCGGGAACCACCCCATCTGGAGTGCTGGGGTCAGGTGGCTCGGGCTGTTGCCACCACCTGTCACTACAGGTTATGTAACCTTGAACATCACTTTCCCTCCCTCCCTCCCTCCCACTGGTAAAGCAAATCATCAGACATTGTTCACTGTTTCTAACCCTATAGCTTCATCATCTGTACAATGAGAATCGTGACTACCTTGGGGGCTGTTGTAAGGCTCAATGAGCTAATACGCATACAGCATAGTGCCTGATCCTTGGTAATCGAGTGCTCGGGAAATCTCGACTGTTTGAACATCACACGTTGAATTATTTTACACATCTCTTTAAAAAAAATCTTTTTGTCTTTTTCCACTTAAACAGTGTTTTTGCAGTATCAGAGTACTGCGTCTGGAGGGGTAGGTGAGGGGTCAGGGTGGCGATGGCAGAGGGTGAACCTTGGGGATTGATTGGGACTTAAGCATGGGACTAACGACTTCAATTTCAATTAAAAGATCAGTAAGGTAGGAAGAATAAGGGTTGGGGAAGAAAACTAAAAGGGGTCCCTACACATGTAATCAGACGCTGAGCACAAACACTAAAATTCAGGCACCTGCCTAAGACGACAGCTTAGTGTCAAAGCGTGCCGTCAGGGGACAGAAAGTCAGCGCTGAGAAGAGAGCCTTCTCCGTTGTGTGTCTCGGGCACGAGGTCTAGTTATGGTCTGCGGTGGACATTTTGGCTTCAATATCCTGATTACATTAGGACTCCAGGAGAACCATGCAGTCTCCTTGAGTTCCCATCCCATGTGTATTCCATGTGTTTGTGTACATTTCCTGTCCCACTCTGTTACATCTGGCCAGCAGCTGTTGTCATCTGCGTGGTGATGGGTGTCCATCAGTGATATGGATGAGGTCGCCCAGGAGCCTCGGGACTCCCAGACTCCGAAAGACGCGAGGCAGTGTGAGCAGCCAGAACAGCAGAGGGGGCGTGTTGTGTTCAGCCACCTTCTGGCAGAGACGAAGCTGGATTCTGGGTTTTTTCACATAATAACAAATGAATGTGGATGCAGTTAATGCCACCGAATTGCACCCAAAAATGGTTACAATCGCAAATTTCATGTTAATATTTCACCACAGTTTTCAAAAACTATACATAATATACCATATATACTTTAAATGGGTAGGTAGTATAGTATATGAATTATGTCACTAAAGCTGTTTTAGAATATAAGAATATTTTAACGATCAGTACAAAATAATTTTGCTTATGTTGTTGCATTAAAAATAACATTTAATGGTAGCAAAGAAATTTAATTTCCTTCATTACTTCTTAAACGTTTTCTGGAAAAGATTTCACACTCACAGAGCTGTAAGTCGCGAGAATTGTACAGCAAACTCACATGCTCATCACCTAGGTTCACGCATTTCATTTGTACCCACTTCACTCCCGGGGTTCAGGAGCGACGTTCTTTGATAAAGCTGTGGGTTTGGCCTCATTGTTTTCTTCTGGTTTTTGTGTTTCTTTAAAGTTCAGTGTGCTCATGACTTACCGGACCCTTGCAATCTGAAGTTCGTGTCTCTGCGATCTTTTGTTTTGGGGACTTGTTTAATTTCTGTGGTAGTTTTGTTTCTGCCATGTGCTTCGGTTTGTTTGTTTTAGGAAATCTCCCGTTAGATGGATGTAGGGCCTCCTGGATTTTTCTCATCTTTTCTTTTTTTTTTTCTTTTTGTGTGTGTTTTCATGTTAACAACTGTATTGATGTATAAGTTACATACCGTACTTCTCACCTTTTCTGTCCTGTTTTTCATCTTTTTGTTCACCAGACTGGAATACATTCTCTCTATCTCTCGATCCTGCCTCTTACATAATTTTAAACTACCAAATTTTCATATCTAAGAGTTCCTTCCTATTCTTTATAGAATTTTTAAAATAGAAATAACCATTTATTCTCATTTCATGGGTGAAAAACTCCCCTCTCTCTCTGAGGATGTAACTCGGTGGTGCTGTCACTTCCTTCTCCCATCTCTGTGTCCCCTGAGCTCTTGTTTCTCTGTTTGTTCCCTCGGTTTCTGTCATTCCTGCTGAAGATGTTCTTGAGTCGTCTGGGACTCTGGGATCTGTTGCTGATTAACAGGGAAGCACTAAAAACTCGACCAGAAGTTCTCTGTGTGAGGGCTCTCCCGCGACATGACGGGAGGCAAGCTGCCGCAGGGCCGCCAGCATTCTGGGAACTGCAGTGGGCTCGTCCTGCAGAATATTGATTTTAGCCCGCATTTGCCTCTCGGCTGTGCCTGTGTTTCCATGTCTGGAGCTTCAGTTTCCTCAGAGAAGAAACCTCCCTTGTCCAGCGGCCGGGTGGCGGGACGGGTGCAGAGTAGTGTCCTGGCCGAGTGGGTGGGGAAGGGGAGGTTTGTGAGTCTGGGTCCCTCCCTGCTCCTCGGGCGCGTTTGTCACCAGTTCTCCTGTTGGCAGCCCTACCCCTTCCCTTACCCTGTAAGGTACCTGCTGAGCTTCATTCCCGAGCCTTTGTGGGGTTCAACAGTTTGACCTTGAACCTTGTTGCCCTCGCGACTTTGTAGGTACTTAGGTTTCAGCTCTCACTCTCCTACTTTGAGGCCACTCTTTCCGGCCTCTTTCAGAAAAATGTTCATATTGCTCATCAGCTGTTTTCCCTCCGCCCCTTTCATTGTTGTTGTAGATTTGTGTGTTATATGTATTAACTAATTTTAGTGGGTTTGGGGAGGGAATAGAAATAAATGCATGGGTTTAATGCACTATGTTCTACTAGAAATCTCTCCTCATCTGCAAAAGTTCCCTGCTCTGTTTTTAATGGCATGAGAGCCAAACTGAGCGACAGAGTCAATATGAATTTTGAACTTGGGGAGACCAAACAGTTGCTTAGCTCTTGGATGGGTCATGGTGAAAGCCACCAGACTCCCCATGTTTGGGTTTATTGATGATGCTGGGACAGAGATCAGCCCACTGTCACTAGCTCTGTCTCCGAACCACATCTGTCTGTCTGTTCTCTTGCAGAAGTGGGGCAGTGTGAGCAACCCACTCTTCCTGCCACTGATCCCGCCACAGTCGCAGGGTTTCACTGCCATCGTCCTCACCTACGACCGAGTGGAGAGCCTCTTCCGCGTCATCACTGAAGTGTCCAAGGTGCCCAGTCTGTCCAAGCTCCTTGTCGTCTGGAATAATCAGAATAAAAGCCCCCCGGAAGGTAAGACAGTGGGGACACAGAGCGTTCGGGAAAGGCCTGGTTTGGGGGGTAGGCCAGCTCTCAGCTGGGTCTGTTATGGCTAGCCAGTTATTTGCATTCTTTATTTTAAATGAATTTTCCTGCTTTGTCAGCGATAATGCCACTTCTGAGGCAACATGACCCCAGTTTTATCAATCATTTCACTCTTGTTCTAGGGTGGCCTATTTAACTCCAAGCCCATGGCTTGTTCTGTAGCCACAAGTGTTTGGGGGCTTCGGAAGCAGCAGGATCAAAGGCCAGCAGCCTTGGGAAAACAGATCTCAGCTTCCCTCAGCCCTCTCAGCTGACTTGTTTACATGAAAACTCAGTTCAAAAGGCATTAGTTTTCTCCTCCCTTATCTCAGCTCTGATACTGTGCTCTTCTTCAATAGAAAGGATGGCCTCACCTTGGTGGGGACCGTCAGCAAGGCCTGCCCTCGCAGATGCAGATGCGAAGTCAGGTCCTGAAGTGAGCTCCCGCCAGAGGCTCCCATTGGCTCCTTCTTAATCACTTTGTTCCCCGCCTGGGCCACCCTTGCAATCTTCGGGCTGGCAGCGAGGCTGGAGGACTGTTTGATGAATTGGATTTGTTTTCAGTTGGGAAGGCCTAGAGTACGTTCCACCTGCATTTAGTTTCTCATTCAGTCCGTCTATTACTGATCCTAATCCCGGGGACTTCAAAGCTCCTGCCCTTTATAGCCTATTAAAGCCAGGAAGTTTCTGATGGATTAGAGCGAGGAATGAGTTTGAAGTTTGTAATGTGCACCACTATCACCGATAAGGTCTAGTTTATTGCCTGACAGTAGTATCTGCACTTTTTACGGCTGTTCCCTTTTAATTGGTTGTATTGAAGTCGGGATAGTGGACCCAGGAAGCCACCGGGAGTGAGTAGACCTGCAGTCTAGGCTGGAAGAAGGCCGTATTTCTGTCTGCTGGGCAAATCAGAAGTCGCGTCAGGGAAATTCTGCAGTTCCTCCTGAGACATTTACAGTTTGTCACTCAATGGAATTTTTGTTCTCTGAAAGAATCCTGTCCTTTCTTTTTAGAATTAGGGTGTACGGTGTGTGAGTAAACAAAATAGCGTTTTAAATGGAGATCCTGTACTATGCCCTGAAGCACACCTGCTTTTTAAAAAATTTTCTTTTTGTTAACTATCTTTTTATGTCAAGTTATTTTTTCTCAACATGTACTTTTGTTTTGTTTGTGCTCAGTAAAAGAGAAAGAAAGGCGTGGAAGGAAAAGCGCCCCTGCGGTGGAGGGAAGGTGTTAGCACCCCTGAGAGGGAGGGAAGGAGAGACGGTGTCAGGCAGGGAAGGCGGAGAAGACAGGGGGGCTGTGAGGGAGGGTGCGGGGAGGACCTCCAGCCGCTGGCTTGGATTCCTCAGGACCGGTCCCTTTTCCCCCAAGGTGAGGCCGATTGGATGGCGCTGCATTGCTCATTAGTCCCTTCATGTATGAAGAATGGGTCGTGTTTTAAGGGGGGCTGTATGTCCTGCTCCGCTCCAGAAAGCACGTGGGGTCACGCCGGGTCCACACTCACACACTGGCCTGCTCACGGAGGCCGCCAGCCTTCGGAGAGCCTCCCAGCACGCGCCCCTCCCAACGGCGCCTTGGTCAGCCACCAGGGGCTTGAGGTGAATTTTTCATTGTACATCTGAGTCGCCTCTTTTGGACGTGCATCCTTGCGAACTATGCAAAAGGAGAAATCTTCGTCTCCCTTCCTGGCCCAGTCCACATTGACATAACTAAGGGCAGCGGCACAGAACCAGGTTTGGGAGCAGGGGCTCGGTTGTAATTTTTGGTAGGCCCTACCAAAATGCACTGGTTGATTTTGTGGGCAAGCGTTTAGTTTATTTTTGAAATATTTTGGCTCCATGGAGGCAAGAGAGCCCTCAACTGATCAGGCCCTAATTTTGACACGTTCAGAGGCCGAACCAGCTTTTTTCTCACAGTGGTTTTCAGGTCAGGGCCCCGGCCCCGGCGGTGTGGTCGTTGGGGAGAACCACGTTTAATCTTCCGCGGGTGCGTGTTCAGTCGGTAAATGGGGCTGTCAGCTCTGGCTCTCATGCCAGCAAAGGCATCTGATTTTTCATGTACGGCATTAGTAACATATATGTTTTTGAGAAAGCAAGCCCAAGGCTTTGAAATATTAGAGCGAAAGTGCTGTTTTTCACTTTCTCTGCATTTACTAAAATAAATACTGTGGTTAACGTGTCTGCTGCTGGAAGGATTAGTGGAGGCAGAAACCCTCCCTCCCCGCCGACCCTTTTTTTTTTTCACTTTCCAATCCAACCAAATACTTTCTTTTCTTTTTGGTTATGTTTAAGTCTAAATTGCTTGGTTTGAAGTGTAAGTAAATACTCAGACTAGGCAATAGAATTTCCAGCGAGCTTCCGTCACACTGGGTCTGAGCCCTGTCAGGAGAGAAGGCCAGCCGCCGCCTGCCACCTCCCTGGCCCTTCGGTTGCCACGCTTGGTGGGTACAGGAGCGGTTTGGCTGGCCCGGCCCCCGTTCGAAGGGAGCTGTTACGCTGTGCATTTCAGATAGGTTGACCTCAGCCTTCTGGTTCAGTTGATTTCAGTTTTAAATTTGAATTGATCCCAAGAGCCCCCAGCTTCAGCTTGCACCTTGCGTAGTTGCTAGCAGGCAGGATGGGCTTGGCTGAGCCAGGAGGGATGCTCAGCTCAGAAGAGGCCACAGGGAAGTAGAAGCAGCATCTTCCCTTTCAGCTGAATTCTGCAGCTGTGGGAATTCAGGCCACAGGGACCAGATGCACACCGAGTAGCTCGGGCACCGCTGAAGTGAGCACCAGGTCTGCACAGCGATAACCTCATCAAGTGTCTGGTGGCTCTGTGGTTGTGTTTGTGACAGTGACTGCCAGGGTGGGACGGGGTCATGTTCAGTCAGCCTGAGCACTTTCTGGTCCCTCTGCCAAGCTGGAGGAACATTCTCTTTGCTCACATCCCTCTTGGCATCCAACGTGGAGAAAACCATTAATCAATACACAATATTTTAAAAATCCTCAATACAAGTTCTTTTTCTCCTTCGAGATGGACTAAAATTCATAGCTGTGAAGTTATTGGGTCAGCTGGCTCAGCTGTTTGTTTTTCATAAATTTAGTGTGTTTGAAAAATCCCATTTTTCAGACTTCTTAGTTATGTGAACGGAAGGTGACATTTCTGTTGTGCCAGCTCCAGAGTCAGAGGACGAGACTCTGATACAAGAGCCTGCTGTCCCATTCAGAATGTAAAGGAGTAAGGAGAAAGGGACCCCCCCCCAGGACAAAGCAGCGGAATTGGGGCCTGCACACTTCTGGCTATGACGCTGTGTCCTTCTGCATCCGAAGGGGTCACCCCATACCCTTCTGTCTGTCCTTCTTTGGGGTGTCAGCAGCGAAGTGCGATTCATAAGACTTGACAAGAATCCGTTTGTGAGGGTGACGATGCGATGGTATTACAACCAGGTAGTGGACGCCCTCGGTGTCTGAGGAGTAGGGCCTGTGCTACGTGCTCTATGCGTTATTATCTCCAGTCCCTCGACGGAGCTGCAAGGGCGCTGCCGTCGTCCCCATCTCGCGAGAACGACCTCGGATCAGCTGAGAGGTCTGCCTGCAGCCAGCACTGCAGGCCCAGGGTCAGGCCCAGGCGCGGGCTCTCCGGCCCTGACGCTCAGGCCCTTCGCACTAGGCCCCACTGCGTCTGTATGTGTAGATGGCTGGGGAGCAGCGGAAAATCACTGAGCCTCATCAGTCCTCCGGTGTGGGGGCGCGGAAAAGCACTGGGTCCTTGTCAGGGACACAGAGAGAGACAGAAAAGTCAATCTCTTCTTTGGGAAACACTGTTGAGAGGGGAACATCACGTTCTCACCTGTGTTTTTCTTTCCTCCCTTACGATAAACAGAGTCCAAATCCCACATCAGAGTTACCTGCTTTAGTCGGGAGTAATCACGAGCTTACTCTTGGATTGCTGCCCCCTCGCCCGTGCCCTCCCTCCACAGAAGGGATGCTAAGGCCTGAGGTGATGGTGGCTCCCTTTCTTGGAGGCCTGTGTTCTTTAAGAATGTGGGAGGGAGAAACTGGGAACTCTAGCGTCTTGCCTTTTGGTGCTGGTGGTCCGTAGGCAGCTGACCACTGAGAGGGAGACCCCTTTTGCACAGCTGACTTTAGGCTGCCCAGGCCTAACTCAGCACAGGGAAAGGTGGGCACAGTTTGAACAAAGCCATGACCATCCTGCAAGTCCCCCTGCCGCCCTCTGTGGCCCTTGTCACTCTCTGAAACTTCCCCATCAGAGAACTTCCTGTTCTTTATGGGCGTCGTCTCAAGCAATTAATTCTTTAGATGTACGGTTCTGTCCAGAAGGTATCCAGCCACGTAATATGGAAAATAGAGACATTTGTTGAAGAAGGTACAGGAAACTTTTTACATAGGACAGTGACTCCTCAGTCCCCTTCAAAGGAGGCACCGTGGGACCTCACACAGTTCTTCCAGTCTCTGTCATCTGCCCCGTCGTCTTTTCCTGAATCTCATTGGTGGTCTGAAATCTTTTCCCTTTCAAAGGTGGTTTTAGTTTTGGGAAAAGCCGGAAGTCTCAGGGTGCCAAATCTGGGCTGTATTGGGGACTGGGTCACATGGGTGATTTGATGTTTTGCCAAAAATCTCTGCCCAAGATGTGATGCATGAGCGGGCGTGTGGTGGTGGTGAAGCTGCCCACCACCAGTTGCCCATAGCTGCGGCCTCTGAATCATCTGAATAGTTTGCATGGAGGAATGTTCAAGCTTAATGCAAAATTGGGTGCAGATTCACTGCTCTACTCACTCAGTCATTTTGAATGTGATGGCCACACAGGACACGTGCTCACTCAATAGCATCTTCTGCCCCCACTGACTAGTACAGTGAAGTTGTAGTGGTTCACGCATGTGGATTCCAGTCCACTCTGCTTGGCTGCCAGGTTACGTCGGTGTTGTGCAAGCCATTCTCGTTATATTAACAATGGTTGGACATTTGTGGACAGAGAATATGGAAAGCTGTCTGTGGGTTGAACATGCTATACACACTTGCCAAGTGAAAGTTCAAATCCCATCTGGGCTAGAGAAATGTTTATACTTAACCAAAGCAGCCAGCCTATTTTCCATACATACCGCAAAAAGAGGAGCTGTTTGTTACCTTTTGAAAGTAACATGGCAGAAATCGTTTCATTAGTGTGTGAGAGTTTCAGCCTTAGAAATGGCAGGGATTCTGTTGATCTAAAAGTAGACGTGGAAGGAGTAGACCAGCTGGCTGCACGCCATCGGACTGTAAGAGTAACGTACCAGATCTAGTATGTACCACCCTGCCACCACTCCCGGAAGTTCAGAAAAAAAAAATGCCTCCATTCTCTAAATAGACACAAACTTTCGAGGGAAAGCACAGCATTTAGTGGGCGTCTGTCATGTGGGGGCTCTGTGCTGCCGAATGCGTTCAAGCTCATTCTCACAGTCATTCATGGAAAGATGGTGCTGTTGTTCCGTCTTCCAAGCCAAAGAAGCAGGTTCGGAGTGATTTGGTTCGCGATCACAGGGCTAGTACGGGCACGCCTGGGTCAGAAGCTCTCTCCACAGCCTGTTCTCTGTGTGACCCGTGCCTGCCCCGCGTGGTCCCGGGGCCTCAGAGGCATCTGTTGCTTCTCACCTGACGTCCAGAAGTCTGACCTGCGTTAGTACATTCCAAGTAAAAGGCCACCTTGTGTCGATGAAGGCATTTCCTTCCATCTTAAGACAGTTTATGCCATCAGAAAATTCTCACCTCCTTTGAGTCTAAATCAAAGACTCAAGTGTTCCCGTAATGTTCACTCAGCCTTCGATTGTGGTTTTAACCCAGAGGTGATGGAGAACAGTTCCCTTTTCACCTGAGAACCTTTCTGGCCTCCCTGGTGTATTACTGGTTGAGGTTCAGAGAGGAGACAGAAACCGCACAGCAACTTCAACAGGAAATGTTTAATGTAAAGAATTATTAACCAGCAGCAGGAGATCGGTGACGAGGGGGATTAAAAACTCTAGAGATTACAGGTAGTAAATTTGGGAGCACCCCTTCTCCAGCTACATCTGAGGCTCGGGCCACGTGGCCCACGGCATGGCGAAGTTTGCTGAGGTGCCCCAGGCCATATCTGGCCAGCAAGAAACCAGCCGCCTCCTCGCGTACCCATAGAACTCAACGGGACACTGCCCAGGGTTTGTTACTGAACTTGCGGGCTTCGTTGGAGCTCACTTGGAACCACCTGTGGGCAGCGGGGTCGCCCTTGAGGGTACCTGTGGAACTCACTAGGGCACCGCCACTGGGGGCGCCACTGAAACCCGTGGGGATCGATGCCACTGCCTGCCTGTCTGCTGGCCAAGGACTGGAGGAGCAAGGAGAAGGGAAGGCACGCCAGACCCGGGAAGAAAGCCCCGCTGCTCCTGCGGTGTCCCTCCAGCACCCTCTGCTGACAGAGCTCAGCGTGGGGCCAGCTGGCAAAGGGCAAATGTGGAGCAGGATCCAGTCCCAGTGTCGCCGACGGGGCAGCGAAGGGTGGAACTGAAGCCGAGAGGCAGCAAATTGAGGACCAGCACATCTAGTTTCTTTGAGCATTCTATAGAAATCCTACATTCAAGCGCCGTACTGTCCTCACAGCTTCTCCCCAACTATTTTCCAGTTTGTTGGTACTTTCCCAGTATTGCCAAACCCAAATCAGAACACAGAGTCTAGTGCAGAGGTTCTCCAAGTGGGGTCCAGGGACCCCTGGACATCCCCGAGATCCTTTCAGGGGGTCTGCAAGGTTGAAATTATTTTCCTAATAATGCTAAGTCACCTCCCTTTCCCACTCTTCTGTTCTTTCACAAGTGGACAGTGGAATTTTCCAGAGGCTGTGTGATGTGAGATGACGTTATCACTCTCATGGCTCCTGGGGTGTGTGCTCATGTATTCTCGTGTGTTAAAACTCCTCAGTTTTAATGTCTAATACAACAAAGTGTGTGTGTGTCTCTCTCTCACATAAACTTTTCTGGGGGTCTCAACAATCTTTTAAGAGCACAAAGAAATCCTGACACCCAAAAGTTTGAGAACCGCTGGTCAAGTAGGTAGGGCTAGAACCTTCTTCGTTTCAAATATTGTAGTTCATGTTTTATAAGGGTTTGGACAGTTGATCTACGGCAGCAGTTTTATTTATCCGGAAGGGTGAGTGGGAAGCAAAGCAAGAATAGGATGATTGCTGGAGAAAATTATGGAACTTTTTTTTTTTCCAAATCTAGAGAAACATGAGATTTTCAAGCTGCAATAGATAGTACAGGTTTTATTTGGTCTTTGATGCCAAAAAGACTTAAATTCAACTACTGGCCTTACTGTTTATTCACTGTGTCACCCCAGCCAAGTCACTTAATCTCTATGGACCTCGTGGAGACGGCTTCGTAAGTCATTTCTGCGCATAGGTTGTCAGGAGGCTTCAGTGACGTTGCAACTTGCTTAATAAAGATCTCTTTCTCTCTGCTTATCCTTACCCTGAGAAGGGACTCGCCTCAGATCCCACAGATAATTCGAAACTCAGGTCTCCGGGCCCTCAATCCTATGCCAGTCCATTTGTTCCAGAGGTATTTACTGATTACGTAATTCTGTGTCAAGAACAAAACTATAATGAACTATTGTTATTGACTAAAAGGCAGTGGCCCAGACGATCTCATTTTTGGTCCCCAGTCCGGCCCTTTCCCAAGCATGCTGCTTTTGGACTTGACCACTTTTTTAGGCTTTGCGCTTATTTAAGACTGAATATTGTCCTTAGTTACAGAGCCTTTCACTTGCACAGGCTTCTTCCAAACCCCTGGTAAAGCCCCAACGATGTGGTACAGGGACTGACTGTAAAATACGCAGACGTGAGATATTTCGTCTGCCGTCAGTTAAGACATCCCTTTCCGCTTTGGACTTGACCTCTGTGATGCTTCCCTTCATCATAGTGACTGTGGAGTGGCCACAGGCATTTGGGGGCTTCAGGACCCACAAAGCCTAGATTGTCCCATAGTTACGTGGTGGACTTTTTGGAAGCGGTGTGACAACTAGCCTGTCTAGTCCCACTTGACAAACGTGGGGAGAACAAACTGCCCTCTGTAACGGGCCCCAAGGTAGACGCGGACACTGTACCAGAGAAGTATTCGTTTCATGCTGTGCTAAATGCAGCGCTTTAACACGAGGGACCTGCGGTTGGAGTGCTTCAATCACTTGAGAGTAAAGTGGGGAAAATGTAAGGCGAGTCATGAGCTGCTGTTTCTTTGCTGTACTAGAAAATCCCACGTAATTGGACCTAGAAATCTGATATTTACTCTGTAAATTGGACAAGATGAGAAACCAAAGTTGGGCAATCGTGGGGGCGGGGGCTGTTGCGGGGTTAAAGTGCTAAGTTAAGAAAACCATACCTGTCCGTTGAAACAGTGTGGCGAGGGGAGCTTTTCACAGCCCAGGTGGCTGTTTGTGACTGCGTTTCGGAGAGGGGCACCTGGGGCGGGCGTCCTCAGCACGTGCGCTGTGTTTCCTGGCAGAGCTTCAGGCGAGATTTGAGCTAGGGGGTGCCTACCTGAAAGCATTTTGCAGAGGTGGTAGTGTTCTGAAATTAAAACCATGAGCCTGAACCCTGGCTGGATAGCTCAGCTGGTTGGAGAGCTGTCCCTGATAACGCCACGGTTGCGGGTTGATCCCTGGTCAGGGCACATACGAAAATCAACCAGTGAGTGCACAGATAATTGGGACAACAAATCAATGTTTTTCTCTCTCCCTTTCTCTCTCTACCCACCCCCCATTTCTCTTAAACTCAATAAATAAAAATTAAAAAAACAAAACAAAACACCATGGGCCTGAGAAAGGGGCAGTCGGACTTGATTTCTCTTATCGCTGTGATCTCGGTCAGGTCATTTTGCTTCCCTGTCTCAGCCGTGAGTGGAAGCCAGTCTGTGCGTTCTGGTTAGAACATGCGTGAGAATCAGTAGTGTTGTAAGGACTTAGGAGAGACAAATTTATAATATCAAATATTATGAAACGCATTTGTAAGACTTGCCCTTGTATAGATACATTTTATTGATTCTTCCAACTCATTTGTAACATGATGTTTTTGCTACTTTATTAGAAAGAAATACCTTGTTTTTTACTTTTCCAGAGTCTCTGTGGCCCAAAATCCGGGTTCCGTTAAAAGTTGTGAGGACGGCGGAGAACAAGCTGAGTAACCGTTTCTTCCCTTACGACGAGATCGAGACGGAGGCCGTGCTGGCCATTGACGACGACATCATCATGCTGACCTCGGACGAGCTGCAGTTCGGCTACGAGGTAGGGAGGCGCTGAGCGGTGCGGCACATAGTTAGTCTCTATTGCCTCTTAGTGCTCGTTTTTCCAAATAAAGAGTCCATTTCATTCTCCAAACTCATAACTTTTAAGTTCTGGTAGAGTCTCAGGAGTGTGGATTAGGAAGCTGTTCTTTCAAACTTCAGGGAGGGCCGGTTCCAAAAGGACAACTGTGCCCTCGTCTCCTTTGGGGAAGTCCCAGGGAGAGTCCCAGGGGACCTTTTCAAAAGAGCGGCGCTAGCGTTTAACAAGCACTTAATTGATGTCTGCTTTTGAATAGTGCTTCCCCGGACTCAAGCAGGCTGGGCACCGCAACAGTAAAAACATCAGTGAGTGAAGGAGCTGGCGACACTGACAAACAGAAAGCAGACCCTGTTGATGGCTTTCTTTCTGAGTTTTAAGTGGGGAGGCTGGCCGCCTGTCTGTAGGGAGAAACATTCTCTATCACTGTTCATTCGATGCGGCTGATGGATTAGGCAGGGTTCAAGGGTTAAGTATGGAGACCAGGAAAGGTCTCCCCAGGGGAAAGTGCCAGAGCCGCGGCCTGGTGAAAAGCAACGGGAATTGATGAGCTCTGTCAGGGCGGATGCACGTGAGATGCATGATGGCGACGGGAGAGGCCCGTGGCTGCAGGGGTGTGGTGGCGGCGTCCGACCCGGGCAGAGCAGGGCGTGTAAATCAACCAGCTGCAGCCGGCACAGGAGAAAGTGGTGGGATTTATCCGCTGCCACCATCCCGCCTTTGGGAGAGCGGTGACCGTCGTCTTTAGTTGACGCGGGGCTTGTTGAATTTGAGGTTCCAGGAGATCATGAAATTTTATTAAATGAATCTGTACTCGGCACATATATTTATTGTAGGAATTTATTTTCCAACCTTTAAATTAAAAGTGGATTTTAAGGGTGGGGGTGGGGTGGGGGCGGGATAGGAATCCTCTTATCACTGCCACCACCAAAAATGAAAAGCTCAAGTTTTCTGTTTGTTTGTTTTTTTTTTAAATTTACATGTGTATAGCTCCATTTGGGTGTGAAAGAGAAATTGCTACAAAATAGGCTGGTGTGTGATAACCTGGTCAGCGTAGTTACTGGCCAGCGGAAGGCGTGAGAGAAGTTAATCAGACATACATTCATCTTTTTGGATTCATTTTCATTCACAGAGATGTGGTTCTCATTTAGGGCATCGGATGATCTTTAGTCCACCCTTATTCACAATTTTTAAAGGAGCAAATTACCTGCTTGCTTTTCTAGCCAACTCATGGCAAAAAGACCAGTTGTTTTGTGCCAGGTTTTCTCTCTTCATTGCCAATAATGGCTTCAAACTATACCCATGTATCTATCTTTGTGGGGAAGAAGGACAGAATGCTATAGTCAAAGTGGACAGAGTGCCACCTCTTCCTGCAGAGCCTCAGCCCCGACGCCCCAGAGTGGGGCCGGCCGTGAGGCAGTGGCGTCAAAACTGGCGCAGTCCACGCCCTCGGCCACTCAGTGTCCACACACGCCCTCCTGCCCAGACTTGACCTTCCATACGGCAACAGTAACAACTGTGTCGTCTCACCGAGAAGGTGCAGCCGTCCTTCACGCATACAGAGACCTCATTCTCTCCCCCCAGCGCCGGAGACACAAAGCCCCGGGAGTCATTATACCATCCCTGGGTAATTACTAATTCTTTCTTCAATTTAGTCCCAATTCTTCTTAAATATTCTGACACTTAATGAATGAGTTGTAGACTTGCAATTCTGGACAAGACCAAGTAAGCACACTTCACCCGGTTCCTGAAAAAAGCAGAAAGACTGGCTGGGAACCTCAGGGCTAGAGGGGGCTCCAACAGTGGCTTCCCTTGGGTTTTTCCCCTCCTTCCTGCTCTCTCTTCCTCCTTCCTTCCCTTCACTCCCCGGCCTCAGTGCTAGTGAAGGTCATAACATTTATATGCACAGATAAAAGCAAACAAACAAATAAAAACAAAAACCCACTTTCTCTTGACAAAGAGAAAAGGGCAGCCCTGCAGATGGAGCTCTGTTGACTAAGCCCACATTACACCAGGCAGACGCCGGGAAAGAAGCCATGCGGCCCTGCCAACTAGATGCTGCGACTGTGGCAAGTTGTCCTGCACAAACAGGAGGCAGGAGCAGAGGGCCCTCTTTCCCCGACCCCTGTCCAGTGTGGAGACTGGAGGTGGAACCTGGTTGACCATCCAGGCCCTGCACTAAGTGAACGGCAGCAGAGAGGCAGCTGTGGGGGCTGCTGGGAGGAGCCCTGTCCACTGTCCCCAGCCTGCTCCGAGCGGCAGACAGCGAACAGGCAGCACCTCACCCCTTCCTAACTGGGTGTAGAGAGTGGAGGGAAAAGTATGGAAAGGAGGAAGCTGAAAAGAGAATTCTTTAAATCTGCGTGTGAACTCCTAGGCACACTCTCTCCTCCCCCAACCCCTCAAAGCAGCCCGTGAATATTACTGACTGGAGTCCACGCAGCAAAAGCTCTGAGAAATTAACTGTGGTGTAGAATGCCACCCAGGTTTCAAGTTAGCCCCTGGGTGGCACAGCACATGAGTTGGGGGGACCAGAGTGGCACCGGAAAACTAGTTGTCTTCACTCCACGGCCCACAGAACGGGTCAGGACACGCGTTCTGAACCTGACCTCCCTACTCAGATAGAAAGAGGGAAGCAGCGTCTCATCGTAATACTCAGAAACTGTCTGGGGTGTACTCCAAAATTACTCATCATGCCAAGAACCAGGAGAATTGCAGCTCTAATGAGGAAAGATCATCAACAGATGCCACAGATGTTGGGATTGTTTGACAAGGATTTAAAAACTGCTATCATAAAAATATCCTCTAATAAGCAGTTACAAACCTATTGAAACAAGGGGGAAAATAGAATATCTTGGCAAAGAAACAGAAGATATAAAAAAAGAACCAGATAGAAATTTCAGAACTGAAAATTACATAACCTAAATTTAAAATGTACTGGACGGGCTCAATGGGTGAATGGAAATGGCAGGAAAGAATCAGTGAACTTGAGGATGAGTCTGTAGGAATTACTCAGTCTCAACAACAGAGAGAAAATAGATGTTGAAAAGTGAACAGAGACCTGTGGGACGCTCACCAAAGATATAACACCCAGGCTGTGAGTTCTAGACGGAGGAAAGGAAGAAGGCGGGGCTGGAGAAGTATTTGAAGAAACAATGGCTGAAAACTTTAAAATTTGACAACGAGCATTAAACTTATGAGGAAGAAAACCACAAACATCCAAAGAATAAGTTGTGTAAATGTATGTACATTGTATAAACTGAATAAATTGTAACATTAATGCTTATATCAAATAGTAATTTCAAAAGAAGAGACAAATAAATCGATATATATATAGGGAAAGTTGGTATGTATATATGAAAAGGGAAAAATATCTACATATATATGGAAAGAAAAATTGGTGTGTTTATATGTATATATGTGTGTATGTGTGTGTGTGTGTGTGTATACATATATATGGGAAGGAAAATATATGCGCAGCTGCCACACTTTTGCTGTGTAGCTCGGTCATGAGACCGGACTTGACATTCGTAACGTTCTCTTTATGCTGCGCGTTCCATGCTCCCTTTGTTCTCTAGCGTGTCCATTACAGACCCGATTTCTTTAATGGCTCCAGTAATCTTCAGACTTCTTTATTCTTGTGTTAATTGGACGAGTTGTGTTTATCTAGAACTCTGTTTATTTCAGCGAAATTATAAAATGTACTTCTATAAAGTCATTTGTAATGTCATCTTATTGTTTAAGGTCTATAGAATTTGGAGTGGTGTGCTCTTCTTTTTCATTCAAGATATTGGCGATTTTTGTTTTCTCTCTTGATCTAGCTTCTTTCTCCTCTTGGTTGCTATTGGCAGATCAATGGGAGGTATTGGCCCAGGCCAGACAGCTGCAAGGACTGGCCATGACCACTGACCACCCACCTTCGCCCTCCATGGAGGATCAGCTCTGTGGGGACAGGGTGGTGGTCTTCTGATGTGGGTGTACAGGCACTGGGGTTCACCCAGGTGGTGCAGGCCAAGGTCAGCCCCCACCTGTGTTTTGCCCAGGGCTACTACCCTGCCTGGGCTACAAAGCATCTGAAATGGCTGCTGCTTGAGCAGAGCTTGGAGATTCCCAGGTGAAGCCAAGATGTGACTCTAGACTGGTTGCTGCTACCAGACCTGGGGCCACTTAGCAAGAAGTATATGGTGGCCAGGGACTCACTGAGGCCAGCTGTTGCTTGTTTGAAAGGATTTAGGAAGTCGTAAAGCATGAGCCAAGACCAGCCACTCATATGGAAAAGCAGCTTGCATGGGCCCATAAGTTGGGGTCTCTGGGGAATCTCCGTGATGGGTCAAAGGGTGTTAGCCAGGTTGATGGAATCTCAAATACAGTACCAGTCTGCTGGCTCTGTGACTCCATTGGGGGGAGGGTTCAGAAAAGGGACAGTGTTGTCTGCCAGAGAGTTTAGTCTCTCCCTGTGTCCCACTGATGCTTTTCAAGCTGCTACCCTGGTGCTGGAGCTCAGAGGGTGTGAGTCTGAGTATGTCCACGTGTGGGTTCTTTAAGAGGAACTGCTTAGGACTCCAGCAGTTCCTTCTACCGACTCAGTCCCCACTGGTTTTTGAAGCCAGAAGTTATGGGGACTTATCTTCCTGGCACTGGAACCCTGGGCTGGGGGCCTGCTGTGGGGCTGGGACTCTCTGCTCCCGAGATGGGGATGCCCCTCCCGAATTTTCATCCGCCACAGGTGGGTGCGGGACCAGCCTGTTCTGCAATTCTGCCCCTCCTCCTACCAGTCTGGATGGATGTGGTTTTTTAATTCCATAGTTGTCAGACTTGTCAACTCGATTTCTGACAGTTTTCACTTTTGCCAGTTTTTAAAGTTACCTTTTTCTTACTGGTTTCCGATTTGATTCTGCTGTGCTCAGAAATATACTCCAATTATTTTAATATTTTGAAATGTATGGCCCGGGAAGAGATCTATT